TCAAACAGAATGCGAAAGTGATTCTAAACCCAGAAAAGAAAGGTCATTCATAGGAATAGAAGAGAGCGAACCTGAAGATGATGAAAGTGATCAAGATATAAGCAATTTCGTAGCATTCATAAGTGAAAGTGATGATCTAGATTCTGAGGTTGATGTCCTAAAAGAAAGCAAGGAATCCTGCACCAAAAACAAGATAGAAGAGTATGATTCAACGGATGATGAAAGTGAAGATGAGCTAAAGCCTGTATATAAAGAAATTTGTGACACACTAATCAGAGTCACAAAAGAGAATGCTACATTAATCAGGGAAAAGGCAAGTCTTAGAACTTTAATCACGGAGCTGGAAGCAGAAGTTGGTAAAGAGAAGAATAATTCACTGCTACTTAAGTCTGAACTCAATGAAAGACTCAAACAAGTTCGAATGTTGAACTCAGGAACAAAAGAGCTTGATAAAATCCTAACAGTTGGGAGAACAGAGAAGACATGCAGTGGGTTAGGATATCAAGGTTATACTTTTCAAGATAAAACTACATTTGTTAGTAGTGGAATTCTTCAAGATGAGAATCATATTCTAAAAACCAAGAGTGATCAGATCAAAAGCAGTCAAGAAAGAACACAGCAAACAAATACAGGTTGTTTCTATTGTGGTAAATATGGGCATTACAAAGCTCACCGTTAGAAACAACCTGTATTTGTTTGCTGTGTTCTTTCAGTCAGCAACCTCCATCCAAACAAATACAGGTTGTTTCTTCTTAACAGAATCAGTCAGCTTTGGAGACAGAAGAAGTTCACCTGGAATGGATGGAGGAATCAAGTATGGATGAAGAAACGAGATCTTTACGGAAGATCATATTCTCAAGAGAAAGAGGTTCGTTGTAATACAGCCTTTATATCCAAGAGAATCTGCAGCAGTGTCAAAGATGAATTACATGAGAAAGCAATACACGTTACATGAGATGAATTACATGAAAAAGCAATATATCCAAGAGAATCTGCAGCAGTGTCAAAGATGAATTACATGAGAAAGCAATACACGTTAGAGTTCAACTTAAAGAAACACAGAAGAGCTTGAGGATGCTTAATAAAGGCACAAACCAGTTGGATCATCGTCTAAACATTGGAAAAAGTGATATGAATCAAAGTGGTTTTCGATTTAAAGAGAGAGTTTTGGAATCTGGTGGAAAAGCTAAGATTGCGGTTGCATCTACAGACCCGTTTGCAAAGCGAAGACAATAGTCCAATTAGCAGTTGGCTATGGTGTGTCTCAAGCAGGGAGAATATGGTCTAAGTAACAGTGGTACAAGAGGAGTTCAAGACTAATATGTTTAAACAGAGACAATCAGCTACACAAAATTCAAGAGGAATTTGATTCAAGGCTTAATGCACATGAGCAAAATCAAGAGGCCAGTCAGAGAATCAAGTTGCAGAGTGATAAAGAAGTGTGAAGAGTTAGAAACGTTACATGTGAGATTATGGAGTCAAGGCGAATTTAATGGTTCTAGGTAGAGCTGTGAAAGGAAAGGAGATGATTCCGATTTCAGTAAAAACCAATTAAAGTTTTGTTCTGTCTATAAAATTCAAGTAAGACAATGAAGGAGATGATTCCGGTTCAAGAGGTTATCTGACGTTATCCTAATAGCAGTGAAGATGAAGTAGCTGGTCGGAGAAGCGGTGAAGAAGATGAATTGAGACTTTATGGTTTCTGAAAAATCAAAAAAAAAAGTCTAAGGATTGATGATTACCTGAGTACTTCAGCAGGGATTCATCAGAGAAGATGACCGGAGGACGCCATTTTTGGAATGAAAAATCTACATCCAAAGATCACAATCAAAAGGATTAAGGTTTTGTGACTATCTAAAAATTGTCTAGGAAGAGGAGATAAGCGACCATGTGACTCTTAGAAGAGAAGACGACGGCGATAATCGCTGGAAAAAGACAAACCTCATATTGAGAAAGTTTTTGCATCTTTTGAAATCGCGATTGAAAGAGGCAAAAGAGCTTCGTGTGTTCGGGTACACGGACATCTCGGTTAGTATAAAAATGGAGTCAAGAGCTCTGGAGAATCTCAAAGAGAAAGACGCACCTAAGGTTATCAGAAGGCTTAGCATCAAAATCCGTCGTGACAAAGAAATTACTGGTCAGCGCTGAGAGGATCGTAACCGACCCAAGTTTCAAACTTTTATTCAAAAACACCCTTATATAAAACTGATTTTTGTTTTGATTTTTTTTTTAATTCGAAAACCGGTTAAATACTAAATAACCCTTAATAAATCTGCATAATTACCAACCCAACCAGATATCCAAATCTGAAACCCGTGTTTTAACCCGGATCCGAGTAATAATCGGATCTTATTGT